GCAACCAGAACGTCAATATTAATACATAAATGAGAGTCCCGTCCTACAGTATTGTATCGAGCGTTACGAGTTCCAGTAATCACGGAAGGAGATCGGATAATAGTGGGCTAGAGGAAGGCTAGTGTCAAAAAGGGGCATAAATAGGTGTCGGGTAGTACGTAGATGACGCAGAGCATGAATAGCATCGAAAGCTGGAAATCGTTCCCATTAGTCACCGAACTCCGAGTCCCGTTCAGGCACTGATTCCCAGCGTTGGATAACTTCAAGGTAGCCTGAAAACTGGAGCGTGGTGATGAGCGGTTCTACCATTTTCTTCATGCCCGTCCGAGAAGAGACTACGCAAAGCGAGTAACACTCCCATGACCGTTTCTCTAGTGAGCTCTTCTCGTGCACCCGCGACAAGCGGCTTAGGTACCACCTCCCCGAATAAATACAGACTTTGCATAGCAGTAAAATGTACAGAAAAGCTTGGATCGTTGCGTGGAGCCCATGTCGGCATTCTTGAACAAGCTTCGAATTACTAGTATTTTGCCCCGAGCTGTCCTACATGTATCAAGAGACGTAAGTGGTGTTTAGTTCCATACTGGCGACATTGCTGAAACCTGCCCATCTAGATGGCTGCATCTGATTTCCAGATGAGTTGGCGAGCCGGGTATTACCTTCGCACCCACGAAACGAAAAACACCGTCTTGGAACCATCGAGTGGCTTGAGCTTTTTTGTGTGACAGATGAACCGGTGGGTTTATGGAATGTCAAAGATGAGGTCACTGAGAAAGGTTGCGCTGTGGTATCTCGATGTTATCAACAAAAGGAGTATCGAGCCGAGCTAGGAGGTCCTCCAAGTACGATTCTTCGCCTCTGAACTTGAAAAATGTGAGAGCGGGGAGGACAGTGCACATCCGTGGAGGCCGGCCCGCTTCGAGGGAGTAAGATTGAATCTCGAACCCAATGAAAAGGATTTCGAGATTGGGCAACGCGGTCAGGCAAGTAGCCATCGCCTTGGGTGAAATGTACCCTGAAGTCGGCATATCCCAAAGGCGAAGAGAGACCAACTGGTTGGCAGAAAAAACAAATTTGGGGAACTCGGGGAACGCAACGCCGTATAAGTTGAATGAACGTAGACTTGGGGCACATCCACCCAAGAATGTCCCAGGAAGGATTGCCGCCGTTATATCACATGATGCAAGACGAAGGTATGTCAAGGCTGGAAGTGGCTCCCGCATCTCAGCAGCGAATCTTTTCAACACATGACTTGTTAGCCCGTCGAATGTGATCTCCGATAAACGTCCATGGTGTCCAAGAGCCGCGAAAACATTTTCTTCAGCCTCCACATCGTTCACATCCCAGACAAAACAAGTGATGGAGATAGGGAACTGCGGCCAAATATCCAGCGATGCCTTCGTGGGAGTTCTGCCATTGCAGATGATTTGCAGGCCTAGACCCTGCGGTGATGCAAAGATGATATGTCGCCATCTTCGACATACATCTGCCAGCCTCTTCCACCACCACTGCTCAAACAACATGGCCTCCCTGCAGAGATAAAATATCTCCAACAGGACTTCATCGGGGAGCACGTTGAGAGTCACCTGGTCTACAGTCGATCAGCCAATGGTTATTGCAGATACCGCGTATAAGACTCACCTTGACTTGGCACTTCACCGTACTCCTTGTCATGTGTGGAACGCTCCCCTGTCACTAGCACCCAGCTGTCTTCCGAAAGGCCGTTTGCGGGAATCGACGACCCAGCGGTACGAGGAAATAAAGATTCGGTGATGCCGATGGGTTCTGGGACCATTGAACTTGTCTGAACATCCGAATGAGAGCTCATTGGTGAGAGTGTAGTTTTCGAGGGTAAACTGGTTGAAAATATAGCAAAAGCAAAAGCCAGGATCGGGCTGATCAAGAGAAGATCGATCAAGTTTTTCGAGTCGTGGCGGACCAAAAAACTGCACACGTGTTCGTGTGAAGTTGTCGCGGAGATCGAATGAATCCGTCTTCGCTATGTCACGTGAATTAACATTTGCCCTATCAAATTTGGCAGCCATGGATAGACGAGATTATATTATATTCTTGAGCACACCAGTATGAGAACAAGAGTTTAAGTAGCGCTCCCAGCCCGTGACCTCGCCGCAGTCATCGGACATGAAGGGCCAGGTCCTTTTTTTCACCATTCATTCCCTCCCGCAGTAATCATGACGCGTAACACGGCTCAACTTGAAAAGCCGAAAATTGACGAGCAGCCACTGCTCTGTTGGGCTTCTTCTTCTCATGAAGTCCAAGTCCTCGATGCAGCGCCGGAAATCTACCCCCACCTCTTTGGATGCGGCGCGGCGAGCCCACTTGCACGGCTCCGCAGGTGACGGACGTCAGCCTGCTGTTGGCGTGGGCAAGTTGCGCGTGCTCATCTGCGTCGCGTTATATGACAGGGTAAGCTGCAACTGGATTGGAAACAAGGCACGGACAGTCGGCACTCGACCGGTTTTGGTCAGCGGCGCTTTTTGCGCAGCTTTCTCCGAATGCACGGGCAGCATCATGTTGGTGTTTTATTTAATTTAGCGCGTATGACATGCAGCACGCATGGCCTCACATTTCCCACTGTTGATGTGGCTAGTCACAGGTCCGTCTCGCTCTCGTTTCTTTCTCTCTATGGCTTTTTACGCTTACCAGTCGCATGGAGGGAACTCTCAGGGGGAGGGGCCTTCGCCATCCGGATCTATACGGGAAGACATAGAAACGTTTGTCGCTGCGCGTCAGCACTCCAACCACCCAATCGATGTTTACTGGGAGTAACGAGTTATAAGTCCAAGTCGTCATGGGCATCCAGTATTCTCTGCCGATCTCATCTACACCCGCTTATTGATCCTTGAAACCTACATTATCTTTCCAACTCGTCATCATCCCCCCCGTGCACTTACATACTATGACACGTAATTCAGCGAAGTCAGCGAGGGGACCAGATGGGGCCTGAGAGCACTTGATTGACTCTCTGATTCGCTTCATTGCACCCGGAGTGGGACCGTTCAAGTTCTGTGATATATTTCATATATTGTTAGGGCAGCGTACATGCAGGGAAAGGCCGAGGGTGTATATATATGCCCCTGTTCATGGACGACCCATCCACCACCATTTCTTGATCCCACCAGACAACCATGTCCAATGTCTATGTACATTCTGTTTCTGCACGTTCTCCGATCCACGCCCGTCGCACACCACCTGACTGAACTGCCTGAATCGTCATTTTCACATGCCGGTCCTTCATATGATGGGAAATTAAAGTGGAGGCTTGAGGTACGCCTTGGAAGCGGCATCACGGATACGAGATGCGTTGGGGCGCCCATGATGTATCACAAACATTCACCCAGGCACCTTTATCCTTTCATCCTATTCATAGTTTAATTTCTTTATTCCTTCCAAAATCTGGCCTGTTATACACACAAATGTGTGGTACAACCGGAAGACAGGCATGACTTTCAAGACACGCGTTCACCTCGTGGGGCTGCTGTTTGTCTGATGGAAGCTTACCGAAACCATTTCTGGGAAGAGAGACATATTCAAATCACAGCCCTGATATTTTAGCAAGTTCCCCAGGTGATTGTCTTGCCACCGGCCTTCTACATACATGCATAAGGGCCCCGTGAAGAAAAGGCTATGCAGGAGAGGGAACACCTCCATGGCTCTTTCCCCTGTTAGCCGTTGCAAAGCAGGTGCAACCTGCGGCAACAGCTCACGAGATACACACAGACTTTGAACACCGGTAAAATGTTCTTAAAGTCTGAGTAGTGCATGGGGCACGAGAATTACCCACCCTTCTTCTGAGAACATATTTTCGGAGAGGTCGAGCTGTTCCACATGAGAGATAAGGGGCGAAAGGTGGCTGCATACGTGTGCCATCATCAAAAGCCCCGCACTTGGATATGAGCATACAACGCCATCTGCAGATGAGTGGGTGATCCAAATTCAAGGGCAATCGCAATGACGGGAGAGGAAAACTTGACCTCGGCTCTATTAAGATGATTGAGCCTTTCGGCGCGGTCGATAAATTTGTGGAGTTCTGAAAAATCGAAGATGGAGTCTACCAAGCAGCTTATATCAAGCCTGTCGAGTAAGGGTGTATCTATTCGGGAGACAAGGTCTTCCAGATAAGCCCTAACCCCCCAGAAGTGAATGTAGGTGAGAGCGGGAAGGACTGCACGTGTGGGTGGAGGCGGGCTTATTCGGCGGTGAAATTGAGGGTACAGAGGTTTAACGTGAAGATGCCTGAGATTGGGAAATGCTGCCAGGGAAGTGGCCATCGCCTCGGATGAAATGTATTCATGATGTGGGATATCCCAGAGGCAGGGAGTGACCAAGTGGTTGGCAGACAAAACAGCTTTGGGGAATTCCAGGAATCCTGCGCCTTCAAAGCTAAAACGAAGGTAGACGTGGGGCACATCCACCCAAGAATTTCTCGGGAAGGACTGGCGTCGTCCAATAATCACATGAAATGTGAAGATAGGCCAAGGTCTGGAAATGGCTCCCACATTACGCCGACGATGTCTTTCAGTTCTAAACCTGTTAGTCCATCGAATGTGATCTGGGATACACGTCCACGATGTTCAAGTGCAGCAATGATATTGTCTTCACCCATGAAAGCAGCAGGTGTAGTGGCCTACAATGAATCGGTTAGCAATCGACTGCACAACAGACAGCTTCATCGGACTCTTCCTGGAGGCGTATAAATTGCTTGCCCATCCCAAAGCCCTCAGAGGGGCCATATCAGAGTCGATGACATAGAGGTGCAAGAAAATAATGGCTGGGTGATGCCACTGTACAGGTTAGGGACTGGTGGTCACACACAGAAGCCCACACACGTGTACGCCACAACCATGGCGTCGGCCCCGCTGGCCATGGCTGTGATACTAGTACACCGGACTTCGGACTTTCTTTCCTGCGGGCAGCACAATCTATGATGCCTCTAATCTTAAGGGAATGGCATTGATCATGAGGCCGGAGGAAAAAAATTCGGATACGGGGAATCGAACCCCGAGCTACCGCGTCCTGAACCTCAGTCCATGAGAGGCGGTAATGTTAGCCGTTACACCATATCCGACTGGTAAATTATGGAGTAGATATAATACATGAATCGGAATCGAATCATGCAGCAACGCAACACCTTGGATTACGATACCAGCCTCAAGACAGCGACAGACTCCACGTGCGCCGTCTGCGGAAACAGATCAAAGCCCCTCAAACTTTCCAGCACGTACTTTCCGTCGCTCTTCCCCTCCGCCAACTCGTCTGCGGACCAAGAGACGATCTGCCCGACGTCCCTGGCCTGCGTGTGCACGTTACAGCTCACGTAGACGACGGTCTGCGCGCGAAACGCGAGCAACTGCCGCACGAACGCCTCGTCGCACCCCTTGCGCGGCGGGTCGACGACGAGCGCGGTGCGAGCGGGAGGAAAGTCGGCGACGGCGCTGAATATCTGCGCCGCGTCGCCTGCGCGGAACGAAACCTTGTGCGCGAGGCCGTTGAGCGCCGCGTTGTGCGTCGCGAAGCGGATCGAGTCCGCGGAGAGCTCGATGCCAGCCACCTGGGTGAAATGCGGGGCGAGGGTGAGAGCGAAGAGGCCCGCGCCGCAGTAGGCGTCCACGAGGTGAGTCGGGGGTGGGATGCTCGACGCGCACGTGGACGTGGACGTGGACGGGAATATGGCGCCGCGGACGTACGAGGTGAGAGGGACGAGGACGGAGTTATTATTCTGAAAGAAAGAACCAGCTTGGTAGTCGAATAGTAAGTCCCCGACACGTTCGCGGACTGTCGCCTTGTGGTCTGTGATGCAGAGATGCAGATCGTTGTCGGAAAGTTCTGTTGTAGCTGTAGAGGAGTTGCCGCCAGGGATCTCGAGGGAGTCTCGAAGCAAGAGGGACACGCCTTTCTTGTAGGTGTATATTTTCCTGCACGCTGCAAATTGAGTGAAATGGGGCAGCGTCGCTGGACACTTACTTTGCAATGTCATCGCGCATTGGTCCGTATACGTCGTTCAAAACCGGAGTTGCAATGGGGCATTCCTATAAATTAAAAAATCCGATGGTTGAGACCAGACCTGCAATGTGTTTTTATCCATACCTCTATGTCCATCACTACTCGCCTGCCGATTTGGTTGAAACCAACCTTCAACCAAGACGGTTTTTCCTCCTCACTGAGGGACGATCCTTGCTTTTGCAATTTTTTGGGTGGAGGGTCGAAATGTGGCGTAATTTTGGTGCGATAGCCATATTGAAGAGGAGAGGGAATCGTTGATTGTATGACGGGTATCGATGACTCCGGAAGACCTGACTACGCCATCATTCGAGCAAGGGGAGGAAGTGGAGGGGGACGAACTGGAGTAGGTCCGGTAAGCTTTCACAACCACGTTGCGTTTGAGATCGAGCTGTGTCTCGTAAGACAGCATCTGTGCCATGACGTTAAGTACGATGAATTCCGATCACTGCCCGGAACTGCTGTACCTGGTACTGGCATCCGGCACATGTCCCAAAGTACCTGCACTGGACCCGGTTCATGTCGCGGAGTTCCGAGTTTGGAACTTCGATACTGATCAGGTCGGCCAAGGAGTACATCCTTGCATGCCTGTATACGCGGGCGCGAATGACCTCTCCAGGTAACACGAACGGAACGACGACGACCCATGGATGCTTCGGTGACGGGACAAGGGCAAGTCCTTCACCTGATCAACACAGGTACCGGAAAAGCGGGCAAACGTGGAGAAAAGATATGAGCAAGGCGAGTAGCAGGGGTCTGTGGTTGAAGCAGACATACCGCTAGACGAGATGCTCGACACCGTGAGCTCGACCTCTTCCCAAAAGCCGAAAGGAGCCTTCCATTCCATGCCGTCAGCCTCTGCCTTTGCTACATGTTCTTCTCCCAAAAGCCCAGCCACTTCGCGGGAGATGACATCTTCCGCGGACCCAAACTCGGGCGGCGTATGCTTCCTCTTCTTGCGTCGTTTGGGGGCGGTCGATGTAGTAATCCCCGCCTGCAGAGTTGGAGTGACGGTTGGGGATGTCAAGCGAGGCCGCTTATCCAACGGCTGCAGAGAGGCCTGTGGGGGTGATGCGGGCCTGATCTTCGATGCTTCCATTATCCGATTGAATATGACCCTCCGCATCCAAGAGGGGACGTGGTGCGTGTGTCCAGGTGTCCAAGGGTACGAGGGCACAGGGGCAACACCATGACTCACATCACGTGATGATTACCCTCCCGGTGAGCGTCTAAGGTGTGGTGCTGTCGATCCTCCTCCTCCTTTGGGCCAGCGCGCAGCCGTAAATTTACAATTCCCGCCCTTGACCCCTTGACCCTTGACTCCCATGGCTATCTTGACCGCCCTACATACCGCTCATTCCTCGCTCTTCTCCACCGATGGCATCCCAGATGCCACGATCCACCACGCAGCAAGCCCGGGGGAAGAACTCGGTTCTCCTGAATTTTGGTGCAAGATGCTCATTAGCATCCTCTTGGTACTGCTCGGTGGCGTTTTTGCGGGGTACGTTGACTTTTTTTTTTCGCGCGTGGCGAAAGGCAAACAAGTACACACCGATAACCACTCTCTGTCTCCATGTGACGTCAGGTTGACCCTCGGCCTCATGGGTCTCGACGAGCTACACCTCCGTGTACTCTCCACTTCTTCCGATGACGCGACGGAGCGGAAGAACGCCGCACAAGGTTCGCATCGGAGTCGATGGCGGTTTGATTGTTGTGGGGAGAAACCTCTGATCTCGCCTGCTCTTAGTTCTGAAACTACTCAACAAGGGTCGCCACTGGGTGCTCGTGGTGAGCAAGGTCCACGCTTTGTAGTGCGCTATTTTTGCCAATATGTGGACTTTGCAGGTCTTGCTCCTTGGAAACGTCGTGCGTATCAAAATATCGTGATATCATGCATCTCGACTTTCACGCGTTGGGATTTAGATCGTGAACGAGAGCTTGCCCATCTTTTTGGATAGTGCAGTGAGCACCGCGCGCACATTTCCTTGGTATCTCTGTCTGAAGCGTGTAGCTCGGTGGAGGAATCGCCGCTATCGTCATCTCCACAACAATGATTGGTAATACTCCCATCCCTCCTTCTATGCCCACCATTGACCATGGCTACAGTTATCTTTGGGTATGGCGCTATTTCCTCCCCTGATTCGTATCTTACAAAGTCGACCATGCCTCCATGTCGAACAGGGAGTACGTATCTACTTGATCTTGACCATTGCTTGCAAGAGCTGAGTACATTAATAGAATCATTCCTCAAGCCGTGAGTGTACGGTATGGCCTATCTATAGGCGCTCGTTGGGCGTCAGCCGTCCTCATGCTTATGTATCTTTTCGGTAAATGCCTCCGATTCCTCGACATGGAACTGATTCTGATTACACACACACACACACACACCCACTAATAGCGCCGATTGCATGGCCAATAGCCAAGCTCCTCGACTATATTCTCGGCAAAAACGACGTACACACCTACAAAAAAGCTGAGCTCAAGTCCTTCCTACAGTTCCACCGCACGGGTGAGGAGCCACTGCGCGACGACGAGATCAGCATCTTGAACGGCGTGCTGGAACTCAATACAAAGAAGGTCGAGTCTATCATGACCCCAATGGAGGTGGGCCTGAGTTTGCCCAATGTAGGGATAAACGACGATAGCTGATTCGTGCGGCAGGATGTTGTCAGCCTTAGTTCCGAGACCATCTTGGATGCGAAGATGATCGAATTCATGTGCGTATCGGGGTTCGAAGACTCATTTCTTGGACCACTTTTGCTGATTGTCGAGGCACAGACTGTTGAGTGGGTACTCACGCTTCCCGATTCACGAACCAGGAAATCCGCTGGCCTTCTCCGGCTTGCTGCTTGTGAAGAAGGTTCGGTCACCTCTAGTTCCATTTGGCCAATCGGCCGCATTAACAACACTTTGCCGAACAGCTGCTCACCTACGATCCGTCGCAATGCTGGCCTGTGTCTAAATTCGCCCTCTCAATCTTGCCAGAGGCAAGACCCTCGATCAACTGTTTTCAGGCCCTAGACTACTTGTGCGCACGTTTCCTATCCATTCATGCCAACAACCGAGATGGGAACTTCCCATACTGACTCATCCTCAGCCAGACAGGCCGTGCGCACCTTTTACTCATCAGCAACACCCCCGGTATTGCTGGCGGTGCGATCGGGGTCATAACCCTTGAAGGCACGTCACAATCCGAATGGCTAACGAACGAGGCTTTGAGAGTTGACAGACAGTCACATCCACAGACGTCATCGAGGAGATCATCTCTGAAGAGATCGTTGACGAGACGGACCAGTTCGAAGACAACAAGTCTAAGCGACGAGCCAAGCGGATGACTACGGCCGCCATCATGCGGGGGTACGTTTTTGTCCCTTTTCTCACACAGATGATCAGGGCAGTGACGGTGGTGGTGGTATAGGATTGTCGAGAGAGAGCGTAGATTGGACCCGGTAAATCCGAATAGCGATGAGCGAACGCCATTGTTGTCGTTCTCGCCCGTCCCAGAACCAGTTGAGCTCACCCCAAGAGGGGTTGTATACGGAGGCATCCGATTCGAGTCACCTCGCTCATGACAATGCGGGGTGGTGGGTGGCACCGTAGGAAGACTCTGAACTCTGCATTGGTGATGACACAGTAACGTCTCAAAGGCGTCGCAGCGCATTTCACATTCTTTTTCCGCCCTCCCCTTTTGTCTCTCCGTTTTGAGTGTTGTTGTAAATTATTCTAGGACACGGAACCGCGCGCAGATGTGCGATCCAACTCGCGCAGCCGCGCCTGTTGTAGTGTCAACAAGTAGAACCGATTATAGCATGTCTTGTCAGTGACTCGAAAGTCTCAGTAGCTCGCCGAGCCGCCAAAGGCAGGCGATGCGCGGGGCGTGAGGCGTGAATTACACACACCTCGAGAGCGAAGAGATGCGAGTCGTATGCTTCAGGGGCAAGCGCGCGCACGGCGGCAGCGAGGTTATACGCATACTCCTGTTATTGTTGCCGTCGTTGAGAACACATGATGCACCACTCGCATCCATTGAAAGCGTACCTTGTTTTGCCCCGACGGGCCAACTGCATG